GGAAAGGGAAGCAGTACATGCGAAGCTTCTGTACTAGCTGTACACCAGACAGGTTTGGCTAGCTGGATGACGTCATGCTAATAATTTATTTAGCTTTTTAAAACAACGGGGGCAGATTCAGCATGGACAGTTACGGGAGTGAGGGATGAGGAAGTAAGGAAACATGAGAACACCAGGGCACACATGGAGAACTCTGTCAAGCTACATATTAGGCAAAGTGAACATCTTTTCTTCTACATAGTTGTCCTCAGTCTCATCTGCTTAACTTGGTCATGGAGACATCAACATTTAATTGAGATGGTAAATTAACAGTGAAAACTCATAGCTTAATTTAACATCAGTATTCATATTTACACTTCATGTTTACTTCTCCTGATCTTTACCTCCTATAACAAGGTCCATAGGGCATCTCAATAAATAAACATGTTATATTATATTATATAAGTGTGATTTACTGCTTTTTTTCGTGTTGGAATAAATATTAAATATTTAACTGCAAAGTAGTAGTGCGTGTTTGATACTATTTTTTTTCATTAAATCATACTGGGATGTTTGCTGAAATTGATAGGATGGCCCTACCTAGAAAATTTTCCACCAGCCGCCACTGAGTCTATGCCTAAACCTAGTTTTTTTGGGACTATATTTGTTAATATTTTGGCAAACTGGGACCATAAAAACTATTACCAGTTTTTGTTTGCAGTGCATCCATCCATGTGCAGCATCCATGAGCTGTGTGTCACGACCTCTGCTGCTGCCGTTCACTGCTGCCCGTGTTGTTAAGCGCCCAAATCAGCTGCCAAACTACAACAGCTAACTTCCTGTTCTTTAGTTGTAGACAGTCCTTCAACATTGAGAGATATGATGGTCAGTGCTGGCCTTGGAGGTGGGCATTGGCCTCTCTTCCTGCTCCGGACTGGAGGGCTGCTGTCGTTTGTTGAGCTTCTGGACATCATTGTCTTTCACTCGGCTTCAGTGTCTTTGGTAGAATTTGCAGGTTTATATAAACCTGACAGGGATCGCGAACGTGAACGATTCTACCATGATCCCCAAATATCTGCCCTCTACTACCCAACCCTTGCAACACAAAAGACCTTGCAGTGTTCAATAAAAATGCAAAGGACTGTGTAAAGAAATGGGAAACTCATATAACCATCACGCTTCAGTGAAACGAAAAGAAGAGAACTTCCTGTTGTTTTTTAGAACCCCAGCATGCACCTGCCTCTATTCCATCTGACACAGTCTTTGCCTCACGTGTCCTCCCTCAAAGTTATAGACTAAACTCCTTATCAATTTATCATAAAATAATCATCAGATAAATTGATAATGGAAATAATTGGCCCCTTAAAAGTGTTTGTTTTATGAGATATAGACATCTGCCTGTGTGCCAGTGCTAGTACAGTACTACAGCACACACACACAAACATACACACACATATGCGTCCATTTGAGTGAGCTTCATCAAAGAAACAGTGAGCATGCAACACACATTTCACGTATTTCTACATCATCAGTAGTGTGTGTGTGTGTGTGTGTGTGTGTGTACGGGTGCTGATGAGTGTGAAAGCGGAGTACAGCTGTGAGCAGACAGGCTAGTGCAGAGCACACACTCTAGACCTCACACACACTCACAGACCAGGGAAACACGTTTCTCTGTGTCCTCACACTGTTTCTTTGATGAAGTTCACTCACTCTGTGTGTGTGTGTGTGTATACGTGTTAGTGTGAGTGAGAGAGAGAGAGAGAGAGTATCAAATGGACAGATGTCCCCACTCTCTGTCCCACAGATGGACTCTGTGATGCCACAGTGTCCTTGTCCAGGATTCACAGGATGCTTGGACACACGCAGGCAAACTGAACCCAACTGGGCCCTTGACTGAGTTTCTGAGTATGTGTGTGTGTGTGTGTGAGTGTGTGTGTGTTTGCTAGAGTATCTAGTGTATCAACAGAGAAAAGACTGTGTCTAGTGTAACACTGTGTGTAGATCAGAGCTCTAGAAATCTTGTCCAATCCTTCCGCTACTTTCTGCTGAGACCCCCACTGCACTCACTGCTTATACAATTACACCATTACAGAGAGCTCACACACACAGAGAAAAACAGAGTGTGTGAGTGTGTGTGTGCGTGTGTGTGTGTGTGTGTGTGCGTGCGTGCATGCATGTGTGTGTCCTGGGACCTGCCATGAGTTACATGAATCGTGCTGTGGGCCAACATGTCCCCAATCTGCCTCTCAGCAGAGAGGTATGGGGTTGAAGACACAGTCGGCGTCACACAGGTGGAGCCAAGGCCAGGGGAAGGGCAGATTAAAGGAGTAGTGCACCTCAAATCCGGCCAACGGTAGTTTCTACATCCTCTGTCTCTCCTGTGTTTCCAGCCTCATCTTACCTCTGACTCGTTAAGTCACACAGTTGCAATGTAGCGCATGCTGGGACTGTTTAAAAGAAGCTTGGTGGGTGGAGCATTCAGACTGCATTGGCGGGATTTTGACTTTTGACTGTTTTGGCATTATTGTTCGTATTGGTCATGATAATGTTGTACTCACAGGAAATAGATCTAAGAAGAAACCAGCAGTCAGACCTCCAGGTTAGTCAAATTTATTTGGAAAAGACAAATAAGGTAAAGATTAAAATCATGACCCCCAAACCGTCTCTCTTCAACATCCAACACAGTTTGCAGACCCACTTCTTGCTTCAACTGTGATCTACTTTAGTTAAGGGACGTTCTCACTCCCAACTCGTCAAATACGGCCGTTTGATCAGCGACTGTTTGCGTTAAATTATGCAATGTGGTCTCATCCATTGTTTGTAGCATTACCTACAGAAAATAATGCACTGTAATTCGTAGCTATCCCGTGAAATGTTTTCATATGTTGTCCACGTAATCAAGATCGAGGCAGTATAATGGCCGTTAAAGCGCACACAGGGCGGGCGGGAGTGGAGGTGCATGGGTTCAGCAAACAGTGATCTTTCCAAGAGACCGCTGTTCGTTCGCATGTGAAACGAGAAGTCAACGTTGATGTTTTTGTCACTTAACTTCGTACTTCAGTAACGGCACTTTTGTGGTTATTTTAACCCAAACAAGGATATTTTCCTAAGGTTTCCTCGGTTTGTTGCCTAAACCTAACTGAGATTCCTGTGAAGGCAGAAGTTTATTTTGAAAAGTCTGTATGCATTTAACAAGTGTAAATTGACACGTGTTGCTGGCTTTTGTAGGACTAATGAAGAGTAACTTTTTGAAGGATATCAGACAAACCGATGAGGATACATTGCCCTAGTGGCTGCAGTAAATATGACTGGAGAAAAGACAGATGACATAGTATAAAGAGTGACAAAGTGGGTTTAGGGAGGTCAGTGTGGATGGAAGTATAGGTCAAACACAGGACTTTCAAGCAGGGATCGCAGTTATTGTCTCGTACCATAACTGACTTATTTCAGCTTACGTATGCGTCATTGACAGAAAAACTACAGTTTTAAGGCTGCAGAAGATTTAGAGACTGCAACCAGTGGAGGCAACCCCCCTGCAAAGAAAACAGCGCTCACTAACTCCACTTAAAATTGATCGAGCGTTTTGTACGTTATAGCATCTGGGCGCCAACAGGGACGTCGTGGTGCATTCAGGTGTACATTGTGAAATCTGAGAAAGTCAAACTGTTGTTTTAAAGTATCCTCCTGCCATCTGGTGGATCTTCTTTTTTAATTAACAATGATTCAATAATTAAAATTGGACCATATGGCCTTGGTGTGGGCACATAAAAAGAAAACGGTATTCGTCATGGTAACATGCAAGAATTTGAAAATGTTCGTGACAGTGCTGGAAAAAAAATGTAATTGAATAGTGTCCTTAAAATCGAAAGCAATCTGTGAATCCCCTAAACTATGTATAATCTATGTAATTTAAAATAACTCCTCTTTGACTTTTGGCTTTACACAGGACACTAACACCAGTCTCCTGGATGAAAGTCCCATGTTTTACCCACACACACCAACCTCCTCACTACACTGATTCATCAAATAAAAACGATTCATTTGAACCTGGGAATTTGTGTGTGCCAAACATGACAAAACATCCTGGTGGACTTTCCGCATTGTTTCCGTGCCACCACCACGTCACACGCAGTTAACAGGTCATGGTAACTTTACTCATTTCTCTGTAAGAACCGGCTCTCAACACAAGGTCTGTTAAGTATCTGTAACGTTTTCAATCACATCACATGTTATTCTTCAGCAGATGGAGTTTGCCTAGTTGTCATGGAATTGCAGATGTTTAATATTTGTGAGATTGGGGTATTGATTAATTGAGGGTTTGTCCCACCAATTTGTCCAATAAACAATATAGAGAACATTTTGTGCAACCCAAGCAAAGTATTGGGTTGCACAAAACTTTGCAACCCAAAGTTGGGGATGGATGGAGTGAATGGTGTTGGGGCAACACACACACAGACACTCACACACACACACACAGTGATAATGGCGCTGCAGGCGAGTCTCCGTCACATCTCTAATCCTCCTTATTGTCAGAGTCAGATATACTCTGCCTTCCAGCACTGTCTTCCTCCCCTCCTTCCTCACCCCATCCGCCCCTCCCGCACTGTTTCAGTCCCTCCTCCCTTTACTCCCCAATTCCTCTCCTTCTTTCTTTAACTCCCTCATCGTGCTGTCACCCATAGCTTTCCCGCTTATTCTCTCCCTCTCGTCTTATTTTCTGTATTAATTATGGAATGCGTCTTTCGCATCCTCCTGTACTGTCTGTCTCTCTTCCCTGCTGTCATTCAGTGTCTAAGTCTCTGTCTCTCTCTGTATTCCTGCTGTGAGGATCAGCCTTCTATGGCAGGCCGACTCGCACGCCTGTGCTGCCCCGCGATTAAACATCAAAGTCTGTGTGCGAACGGGGTAATCGAATGGTGTTTGTCTGCACTGGTTTTCAGTCGCAAAAAAAATTATGAAATTGAAGAACTGTCTCCCTGCAACATGTAAAACAACTTGTTCCCTCTCTGCGTCCCTCTCAGTGCCCCGCTGTGCTGAGTGGGCCGACCGAGTCAAACTCTCACATGCTGTCCATGTACCACCTCAGGCTATGTGAGTGCCCATTTTGCCTGTTTGTGTCCACTAGCCGCCGCCGTGTTTATTGAGTTCTAACTGTCTGTCACAGTTCAGCTCCACACCCTCCTCACTCTTATTGTCAGTCACTCCCTCCTCATTAGTCTAAACTCCCTTCACCTGTTCACTCACCTGCCTCTGATCAGTAATCAAGCCCCTTTATAGACTCCTGCATCCCAGACACATTTGCCAGATTGTTCTTCGGTTCTATGTCAGACTCTCCAGCACACTCTCACGGACTGATCTCCTGTTACCGATCCTGCCTGCCCCTGTTCTACCCGCCTTGCCTGACTCCCGGTAAACCCACCAGCCTTCTGATCCTGACCCTGTTTTCTGACTTGTGTCGTCATCAGATCAGAGGTGTGTTTTTTTTAGGGAACAATGGCTCTTATGCTGCCATTCTTTTGTGGCAGGTCTTGTCATTCAAGGCTAGACTTTAATATTGTTCAGTTCATGTCAATAACTCACAATTTAATTCCTGAACACTTGTGGCTGTCAGTAAGTCTAGCCACAGACTGTTGGAGGAACCTTTTGGAACTCTAATTAGCTACTTCATACTTTTAAAAGTGTGTTTGGATCTTGTAGCTGTAATTACTCAGTTGGAGTTGTTATGCTTTTAGATATGGCATTCAAAGAAGATATAAAGTGTTTGTGGAGCCAACGAAAGCCCCAAATTTGTTAAATGGACTTAGATTTGAATAGCACCCTTCAATTCCTCCAACGACTCAAAACTCTGTTATACATTCGCACACACTGCTGATCAGGATCTAAACTAATGCTCATTCACATAGGGAGCAATTTGGGCTTCAGGGTCTTGCCAGAGGACACTTCGAAATTCGGACCGGAAGAGCCGGGGATCGAACCTCTCTAATTCGGTGCCACAGTCGCCCCATCGTACCTTATATCAGCCACTGATGTGGCAGGGGAAGCACAGGAAGCAGTGAGGGAAACCTGGCTTCTGTCTGCAAGTGACGTAGTATATCAAGCTGCTGTCATAGAAAGTAACGTGGTAATCATAGCGAGTATCACGAACGAGAAACTCCACCAAGGATAGGTGGAAGAGGTGGTGATTGAGTTGGATTTTTCACCAAGGAGGGTGCTGTTTGTTTGGAACCTAAAGTAAATGTTGACTTTATGCTATTAGGTGTTACACTTGTTACATAGTGTTATTTAAGAGTTTGTTAAGGGCTGTTATTATAATTCTTGAGTTATGGTTGTTACATTACATTGTGTTACTTTTAGTTACTTTATTATGTTAGGTTGCTTTGTCAGGTTGCGTTGTTAGGCTACGTTCTTACATTACGTTGCTATATTACGTTACAGCATTATGTTATTACGTTAAGCTGTTACGTTACATCTTCACATTACGTTGTACGTTCTTATCCTATTTTTACAGAAACCATTATATTTTTAACCAAGTAGCTTTGTTGCTCTAACCTAATCAATGCTTACACAATGTTAACCACGTGGCATTGTGCCTTGCAAGTGTTATACAAGGCTCATATGAAATATATTTTTGATTCAGAAACATCCACATTGTCAGTTGAAGGAGATAGATGTCAGGCAATGAAAGTTTGGAAATAAGGTTGTGGGAAAGCACTTAGATAAATAGGTGACTGCATTTATCAATAAGCTATTTCATGTATCTGCTGCATATCAAACACAGAAGAAAAATCGCTCCACAAATGTGTGTGTGTGTAAGAGGACCGCCAAGCTCCACTCCCCCAACCTGCCTCCCAAGCTGTTATTAGGGTCGTTAAGTCATGAGTAGTTAATTAAATCTAGCAGAGTCTGATCATGGTTGGGTGTTTTCACTGTGTCAGTGCATGTAGTGATTAGCACGGGGTCTGTGTTACACATTAGGATGGACCTTGTTACAGTAATCTATTTTAATTTCTTACCCCACAACCACGGCCCTTCCTCACCTCCTCCTCCGCCATCTCTTTTGTGTGTGTTTGCTGTATTTTTCTTTCTTCTTTCTTGTATGTCTGAATCTGAAAAGTTTTGGTATTGGTGCCAATATATCAGACCTGAGCTGCAGTAATGATACCATAGTTTTACTTTTATTTCATACAACTTTAACAGCGTTTTATTTTAAAACCCTGAATAGGCTGCTTTATTCAGTTTATCATCAATAAATCTCATAAAAAGACCAAAACCAATATGTGTTCAAACTGTTAGTTCCTACTAATGATATAATCTTTGAAATAAGGTCACAATTACTTTGATGTTTTTTCTCTGGTGACAGCTGGTCACAGTAGTTTTAAACAAATGTTACTCAAACTGGAGGGACTATTTTTAGTGGTGGATTAATCTACATTTGTTTTTTTTGTTTTTTTTTTTTTTTTTTTTTTTTTTTTTTTTTTTTTTTTTTTTTTTTGTGTGTGTATTTGTGGGACAGAAGGTTGGTGTGAAAGGGATTGAGTCAAAATGAACTATGATGTGTGTGTTCATGTTACCCAGTATGACAGTTTGGCTCATTCAGATCAGGTTTTGATACATAAACAAAAGTTGTTAGTTAACATGTGTGTCATTGTATGAATATACAAAATCAAACGTCAAAAAAGAAGCAGAATTTGAACCTTAAAGCTGCTCAACTCAATACTTTTATAACGGATCTGCTATCGGTACTTTAGAAGTTCCGAGGTGGGATCTCCTTGTCTCAAACCTCCTCTCTCTTTGACTTTGTGCTTTACTCTGACACACACTCCGGCTCAGTACAGTGTGAGACACACATCATGGCAGAGAGCAGAAAAAGACCCAAAGTGTGGCTACATTTTACTCCGGTAGATGCTGAGAACTCTCGTTGTCATAAATAAAAGCCTCACAAGTAAAGGAGGAAACGGCAGCAGTTCATCACAACATGTAGCCAACAAGCAGAACATCAATGTGCAGTTTTCTTCTGTTTATTGAGCAGCTGTCCATCCTCGTCCACTGCAGGTAACGATGTAATACGGAGTTTGATCATAAGAATAGGTTAATAAATGAAAGCTAATCACTTAGCTAATTGTTTAGCTGAGAATGTATTTTAAAGATTTTGGAACTTTTAAGTATCTAGTATCGATAAAAGCCTAACAATACCCATCCCTACATAGGAGGCCAGAAAATTAATTAATGCTGCTATGACTGAGGAAATATGTGATAAAAGAAAAATCAGTGCCAGCATTTTATGCCTTGGACACAGTTTGGCAGATATTCAAAAAGCACTATAGTTTGATACCCCTGTGCTTTACCTTGTCTCCAAACTCTGCCTCTCTTTTCCCTGCTGGGCCTCAGAATACCTTCACTGTTCACTTGCTTTTTAAATATTCCCTCTCAGAGACCAAGCTGCTCTCCTGGCAGCTGGTTGCCCCCCCCCCCCCCCCAACTAACTAGGAGTGAAGCGAAGAGGGAGAGAGGAGTAATGTGTCAAAAGGAGACGGACAGGGAAGAGGGGGAGAGATGAACGAGAGGGAGAGAGGCAGGCATGGGTGCTCGGCAGTTCTCGGCAGAGGCCTTTAATGATTCATGGACTGACTCCAGTCATACGAGCGGGCCTCCATTCCTGAGACACACACTAATACACACCCGGTGATACATGCAAGCTCAAAAAGTTAAGCAAGGAGCTGTGCATTGCCCTGTTTTTGTTAAGTCTTGAAAAAGCATTTAAGAATATAGCCAGTATATGTGTGTGTGTCATGAAAGTAACGCTTTTGAACACTGTTGTTTGTCTACTGAAGATATACACACAGACATCTATTGTCTCCTTTTTAAAAAAAGAAAGAGCCCATAACAAATGCCAGCCCATCACATTAGCAGATTCTTTTCATATGCTCCACGCTTCCCCCTCCGCTACGTTAACACAAATCACTTGTACCACTTGCTAATCCCTCACCTGATAAAAACATCACAATTCTGAAGCAGGGATATTATCCGTGGAATTACATTCAGTTAGCTCGGCAAACATGGGAGCGGGTCTCTCTGGCGGAGAGCGAGAGAAGCTACGGTCAATTCCTCTGCGAGAGATAATCTCTTTTTTAGCAACCGCGATGGAGACGCCCACGGGTCGGCACGCAGACGTTTATTTCCCGGCACAGGCGGACGCCGCAGAAAGACACGCTGCAAAACGAGATACAAACCGTTTGACAAAAGACTGACGCCTTGTCTTACAGAAGGATTGTCAGTAAAATTAAAGAAGCCGCGGTGCTTTATAATCCTCTGCTGACAAAATGATAGACTGGATCATCGGTGTTTTAGGTGTACTGAAGAACTTTTTCTTTTTACACTAAATTGGATAAACAGCTTCGAAAATGATTAAAAGGAAAGTTTTTTTTTTTTTTGTTTTTTTTTTTAATTTGAAAGTGTATTTTTCAGAAGTTGACAGGAACTCAAAAGCAACATTGATCAACCACAGATCACGTGTGCGAGCATTTGAAGAATCATGAATGCTTTGTCCCATTAACTAAAATACGGTGTATCCTTAACATTGTTGCCAAATCAGCTCTCACATTGTCTAACTTCCCTGGCAACCGCTGGTTCAATTCATTTAAGTGCATTATGAAAATCAACTCCAGGAGTCTGAAACTTGTTGCAGCTAATGCATGGCAGTATAAAGTCGTTCGCTTTTTGTTTTTTTTTCAGCTGTTATCGGTATCTTCCTGTTCCGATGTGAGGGTCCTCTGTCACCCACGGAAGGGCAGGATTCAGAGATAGAATCGCAATTTCAAACCCGACTGCTGCTTCAGAACCACGGACAGCACAGTTTGGCCCCGATCACACCGAGACAAGCCGCTAGAAACACGTGCGCATACAACCATTTTGCAACTGGCGTAGACACCTAAACGTTTAAATATTCTCAACGTTTCAGCTGCAGGCACGGAGTCGCACTGCCCGTCAATGTCATAGTTGGCCCAGGCAGACAGCCAAATGGAGCAAGAGGCGGGCTTTACAATTTACCACTGACTTCCTGTTTTAATGACAGTTTATGTGATAGGAACGGACAGAGGCAGACGAAAGGGTAATATTAGCAGTTTTTAATAACGATGAACATAATATTTCCCTTCCTCCTCCAACAGCAGAGTAACAGCAAGAGCTCCATGTCCGCATTGAATACTTTTTTCCCCTGTTATTTACGTTTGATAGCTCCACCGGCTCATCAGCTGTTTTGCCCGACACTCTTTGCCAACGGGCGTTTTTGAAGCGGCCGCACCTGTTGCGATGCGTCCCGGTGTGATCGGGGCCTCGGGCTACTGATGTTTCCGAGTCATGGTGGGAGGCCGTAGATTCTAATTGGCGCACAAACCTCAGTCAGATAAAGTATCCATGAGTCAGCCAGACTAGACTAACATATTCTGCCTCTGCACTCTCCCTGCTATTAGAAGATGGAGAGAGGGTGGCGGCAGGTGAACACGGGATGCACTCTGGTCAATTTTTTTTAACAAGGGGAATGACATCCTCCCTCAAATTGCTTTCTGTATGAGAAGTGATCAACACCTGCACATGGTACCTTTATGTTTAGGCACGAAACATCAATCTGATTGAGTAGGAAAAGCTATCGGTCGAGGTAAGGGAAAGTTCATGGTTGTAGTTCAAATAATCCGATGCAGATCACAATTTCTGCAGTCAAGGTTGTGAATCCAAACATCCACCTTTCACACACAGGGAATGAAGAGTAATATTAGCATTATTTGAATGACATCAAGACATTTTTCTTTGGAAAACAACATAATGCAGTGAATCTCTTCAAGTTGATCGAGTAGATTTTCACAGGAAGCTGATATGAAATGGCTGTCTGGAAGACAAGAAATCAATGTAAATGCTGGATATGCTTTGGAAAATGGTTGTGAATAACGTCAAGAGAATATGACTAGTTAGTAAGATATGCAAAAGTACAATACGGACCTTTGCAGGACTACTGTGTAGGACTTAGTTTCCTCCTCACATTATAACATAAGTCTTTCTCTGAGTCAGTATTTGGTTTGTCCGTTTTGGGCTACTGTAGAAACATGGCGGTGCAGTAGAGCCCCCTAAATCCTGCACACTGGTCCTTTTAAATTGACTTGAACGGCATCCACCTGTTCTTTCCATCCTCATGAATCCTTCTCTGTGCTGAATACGACTCCGTTATATCTATCTATCTAAGGTGGTCGTTTTTTGAGGGAAACCTCAATGTCTTCCTGTTTGCTCTCTCTTCATCCCTCCATTCACTCTGGGAGCATCGAGCGCACCGCCAAGCACATTTCATTTTAATTGAGAGGTCCATGTGAAGACGGACATGAATATTACATTCCACAGGCCCTATTAATATGCTAAGGCCAGTCTAAATGTTTTAATATCAGCCGGGTAAATTATTGAAACTGTGTTCATGGGCAGCGTCGGATCATTCGTCAGAAATGTTTAGTCTCTGATGTTCAGGAAGTGATGGAATTATAATCGCGTGGCGTTCCAGCCAAAATGTAGGACTTGATTTCCCATGATGCACCGCCACATGTGCTGGACCACCCATCCCCCGCCCGCACGCGACTTGGAGTCTCCGTTTTTAGCTTTCTTAATTGGAGAGAAGGACAAGGAGACTGTGACAGGTATTACTTCCTATTTTCAGGCCAGTCTCTCTGTCTCCGAAGTCCCCAAGCATGTCAGACTCACACACACACACACACACACACACACACACTCCGGAAATTATTCAAAGAAAATCCTCATCTGATGTGCCACTGAGCACAGACGTGTCGGGCCACGGCGATAAAGTTGGTGTTTCGAGTGACTGCACTTGGCAATTTAAAAAAAGCCGCTTGCGCAGAGGCGGCACACACACACACACACGTGCGGCGCTTTGGAGAGGAAGATGGATCGGAGTACAGATTGTAAGTGACATGTTAATTTCTTCTCCGTCACTCACGACCGCGGCGTCCGTTATCAAAGTAAAGGGACACGAGCCCCAGCCGTCAAGACTCTCCCGTTCTTCTCTTCTTTTCTCCTCTACTTTTTTTTTCCTCCCGTCGCCGAGCGTTCCGGGGCCCGACTGTGATCAAGGAGGCGTTTAATGTAGCTTTCTGTTCACCCTTCCCCGCCCCCCTGCCGGGGATCCTGTTTGATTCGTACACTAGACGACTGCTATTCATCTTGAAGGTCAAACCTCGTGTTGAGACAGTAGAAGGAGGAAGTCTGTTTGTGTGAGGGGCAAAAAGAGAAGTGAAAGGTCAAGCTGGAGTTCCACAATTTCTCCTTATATTTTTCAAATACAAACCACTCCAGGCCACAACTTCAGGCACAATCGGGTTAAATTCTGTTGGAAGCAAAAAAAAAAAGGTTGGATTGGAGAGCGACTTATTTAAGAAGATGCTTAAAAAACACAGCTACAAAGAGGCCAGATATTTGCTGGCCTGCACCAAAATGTTGCATATGCTGAAACTCGGGAAAACTGCATTAACAAAGTGATTACATTAGACCCTTGTCAAAAATAATCCCAACCCTACAGTCCAATCAACAATGTCAGCAAAAATTGTGGTGTAATATTCACTAACAATGTTTCCCCCGTCTTGCTTTGCTGTGTGTTCAGTGGTTCATTTACATTTCTTTTTTTTTTTTGTAATTGTCATGACACAAAAAACGGTACCTGTGACACATTTATGGAAAGCATTAACTCATGCATCATATCTATCGAGCAGGTATGCTGAACCATGCGAACATTTTTGGCTTTACACAAGTCTAAAATTTAAAAAAAAACCATACAAGGTTATCTCCAAACATGTTCTCTCAACACTTCCATTGAAATACCACACTCGATTGTCAATCACCTGCACCCAGAATGCACCTGTGAAAACACCTGTAACCTATTAGGTCACTTAGAATCAGAGCTTGAACACTTGAAATACTAGGATTATAGGTCGACTGATAGGTCGGTTTGACTGATGGCTGCAGTCTCACAGAGACGTACATCAGCGTTTTATATGGAGTCTGTCATTTATTTATGCGCTATAGCCATAAATATGTGACGGACATGGAATTATGTTTTTGAATGTAGACTGCATCTTTTTTTCAGAAAGCTATTCTTCACTACATAAAAACTCCTAAAACCTTGAACGCATTATTCTTTCTGGCAATTGGGGTAAAGAAAAATGTGCGGTAAAACTTTTCGGCCCCGGTGAACAGCTGACAAAGTGGTGTTCCTATCATAATAGCTGCTTTTAATTTTATTTCTATATCAAGTAACATAGACAAAAAACATGCAGAAAATCAGTATCGGAGTATCGGATGAATAATTGTCTTTTTCCTGCTCCAATCTATCATTATTATATCGGTCGAGCTCTAAAAAGGATTTAAAAATGATTTAACTGACTTAAATGCTTCCACATAGTGTGCATTATATGATTATAACTGTTCAATTGAAGATCATGTCTCATTATAATTAATTAATGAATCACTAATTGGTTGTTATTATTATTATTATTATTATTATCATATCAATGTAAGGAGAGATAGTGTGACATTTGATAAAAAAGAGTCAAAGCATCCCACATGACATTTGTCTGTACTTGCCACAGTGACCAACCCATCTGTTCTTCTTACTTCCTGTGCGTGTGTGCGCAGGCAGCCCTGGTACTATGGCTGGGGCTTCAACCTGCCACGGGGTCAGGCTCTGCTGGACAAGTGGAACCAGATCCCCGACAACACAGACATCCTGGTGACACACTGCCCCCCACTGGGTGAGACACACATTACAACACACACACACACACACACAAAGGCTCCAACATATGTCTAAAGTAAATTGTGTGTATGTACAGATCACTGAACTGTGAAAATAAATGATGTCGTATTCATTTACTTTGGTTCCACCAAATAAAACTGTTATACAAAATGTTACTCATTCAATTATATTATTTTATCTGAATATTTATTCAAATCAAAGATGCATAAAATGTACACAAGCCACTGGTGGAGCAAGAGATGAAGCAGCAGGTAGAGATGGTGTTGATGTGAATGGTAATACCAAAGTATAAATGTCTTATCAAAAGAAAACCAACATGCATTGGCAGCCTGTAGTGATTTTACAGTTTATTGACAGTTAAGTTCAAGTCCAAGTGTTGTTTGTGTTATAGTTAACAGACATTGTGCTCTTTAATAATATTTAGCCTAATCTGATCATGTTTCCAGTTGTATACAAACTTATAATAAATAATTATAAAGGTTCTTTTCCCCACTAACTGTCCTGTAGCTTCCATCTGAGCTGCATTACGAACAACTCGGAACTCAAAAATGTCCGACCTCCTACTAGAAAAAATACAATCGGAGTTCCTACTTGTGAGCTCAGGACAAACCCATCTACCATGACTTCATGAAGAAGCATTGGTCTGAAGTCACACCGCAATAGAAGCGAACATTGTAAATATTAAACCATCAACTAAAAGGCAATGTTTACTCTATGTATTTGATTAACGTAATAAAAACTATTGTATAATAAAACCTGTTCTCCTAAATTAATGTCAAAATATGTTGCGATATGTTATTAAGTAGCTGGGTATGGTCAACAGTCTATGATAATTATCTTGTTATAAATTTAGTTATTTGGGAAAACGTTGAAAATGCCAGAAAAATGTCTATGCTGCAAATATCAAATGAGAAAATTCCGACCTCAAAGTTTGTCTGGAACGCAGCATAAGTTTCCGCCCAGTCCTGACATCAGTAAATCCAGAGGAACACATAATCAACATCTGTTAACATGTCTTTGCCTATTACTTACATTATTCTTCCTAAAATGCATATGCAAAAAGAAAAAGATGCACCTAGCAAACACCTGAACAAATAACTGAAACACAAACTGCGACTCCATCTGTTTGATCAATACACTGCATGTGTCTGGGCCTGAAAAAAAGGTCCTTTATTCATTCATGTAGTGACCTAAAAATAGTCACATTTAAATGTATTGAATCTAGAAATACTGGCAACAACCTATAAAATTGCCATCATGTCTTCTATTTTTTTTTTTTTTTAGTAAATATGATACAGTAACATGCAACAAAAAGATCCCCGGCTGGAATTGAACAGGGGATATTGCAAATTGGCCCTTTGCTAAGCACCCCCCATTGCTGCTACTCCATCAAGCTGTAAGAGCGCATGGAGCCCACACTGTCACTAACTGCACTTCCTGAAGAATTCTCTTATCTCAATAGATCCTGCAAAACACAAACTACATCCATCTTCAGCTTTTACAGACTCATCAGCACGCTTTATTTGGAAGTGGTGCTGAAGAATCACTGTCGTTGAGTGGATGAATAAAGGGGGAAGGTAATCAAAGCGATGACTCACACACTCCGGTCACCTTCTTTGTGATCGCCTTTCAGCTTTTACATCCTCATACATAAACATGGCACAGGTTTGAAACCAACACAGATGCCGACTCACAAGCTAACTGACATTACATTACAGTCATTTAGCAGACGCTTAAATCCAAAGCGACAGATTGGTTAAGTGTCTTGCTCAAGGACACATCAACAAGCAACTAGTGGAGCCTGAGCCGGGGATCGAACCACTGATCCTCTGATTGAAAAGGACAGCCCTGCTATCCACTTCGCCACAGTCGCCCGTGACATCCTGCTTGCACGTCTCTGCCTCACACACACACAGATGCTCATGCGCATACACACTCTCCTCCCTCTCTCTGACCCTCACACACTTTCACACCTCATCTCCTGCTGCAGCTGTGGTGCTCAGACGCGTGTGTGTGAGATTGATTTCAACGTCTGAGTCTCGGCCACGAACACAGCCGTGTGCGTGTGCGTGTGCGTGTGCGTGTGTGCGTGTGCGTGTGCGTGTGCGTGTGTGTGTGTGCGTGTGCGTGCGCGTGCGTGTGCGTGTGTGTGTGTGTGTGTGTCTCTCTCTCGTGACAATGGCATGAGAAAGAAACAAAAAAAGGGGATGGAGGACAAAAGTTTTGCTGATGAAGTGGATTCTTCAAAGCGGCAGAGGTCAAGAAAAGACATCCTTTCTTAAAATATTTTGTTAAGAATGGTGTGAAACGAATGATGGCCGAGAAGGTGACGGAAAAAAAGGAGTTGTGAGCAAGACATCGTTTCGCACTGCAGCAAAAAGCTCCCGTCTTTTATGAGGCGCGATAAAACAGCAGATCGGCAGCTCGAGAGGAAAATACGGCCTCTTTATCTGGCTGTGAGGAAGAAGTTAACAGCAGAGAGAGGGACAAAGTGAGACAAAAAGAGGAAAACGGGCGCAGTGCCCAAAGCAGCAGCAGCTGCTTTGAAACAAGCAGCACATGAGAGCAAAAAGCCCTCTTAACTTCTCACTTCACTTCCGCCATCTCCCAAGGCTTGTAACGACCACGCTTTAAAGGCAGCTTTTTATTATTTTTTTTTTTTTTTTTTTTTTTTTTTTTTTTTTTTTTTTTTTTTTTTAAAACTTAAACTGATATTGAAAGTATTTCTTTTTATTTTTTTTTATTTTTTTTACAGATAGACATTTCAAGGAGAAAGAAGTCAGACCGTATTACTTTACCGTCATTATTGATTCACTGCCGGCTAAAAACATGGACGTTTTTATGTCTGTGTTGAGTATGAGATGGTCCATTAACTTTGTCCTGAGTGAGATTCTTTGCACTGTTTGGTGGTAAAATGTATAAAGAATCACCCATAGAAAGACTTTCTCTATATCTTTCTTTTCTTTTGTCCAAATCATGAGACTTGCTGTTGCCCTGTCGATGCTTACAATTACCCGAAATGGCCACAAACCTTTGTATAGTTTTGCTAGGCGATTCAAACTACTGTTCAAATTTGACTTTGAAACTTGAGGTTGAGACTCGAGTTGCAAAAATGAGAACTTACTATTAGCGATTAAGAATTTTCTTTGACTAGTCCATAAACAATTGAGACTTTTCTCGGACTTGTACATTAAGACTTGAGACTTGGCTTGAACTCGCCCTTAAATACTTCAGATTTGACTTGGTCTGGTCCTAAAACTAGAGACTTCCCCTACTTGTGAGACTGGTATTGGACATGACCGTAGAAACTCAAAACATGGCTTGGACTCGCCCATAAAAACTTGAGAATTGACTGGGCTTGTCCTTAAGATGTGGCTTGGCCTCGCTCTTAAAGACTTGAGACGTGGCTTTAAACCGTTGGTTTGTTGGAGGCCCTTTCATGTTTTAATATGAAAATGTATTAATTAATCTTGATTTATATCTGTAATCTTAGAGACAAGGTTCAATCGGAAGTCACGGCAATCATTTTCTCCATAGACATTTATCCAAAGGTGAAAACGTGACTTTATTTTTGAGGTTTTTTTTTTAAAGCTTCCAGGCAAACTGTGCCATGAGTTGCTGAAAGGTATTTAAACCGCCCTCCTGTTTCTCGAGTTGCTGGTCAGGTCTAGTCCACCTGCTATCCCACAATGCTTTGGGAAGCAATTTACATTCATCTTGTAGAAAATGAGTAGGAGCTCACTTCTTACCACACCACAGTCTGTGGGTTCACAGTTGGGGTTGCAATGTCAGTCTTTAAATCTGTTCCTCTGTCCGTCCATCATTTTGGTCCAAAGATCAAGATATTTATCTACTGGCCAGATGTCTATGAAATCTGCTCTGGTTATGGTAATCTCATGATCAATTTGGAGAAGATGCTGTTTTTTGAAATGTTTGTTTCTGCACTCTATTCAAGGCTTAAGTTATAACTAATAACAAATGCATATCATTTATGGAAACCGTGGCAATTTACAGTATTTTTGTGTTTTTACAATCTTGAATTTTATAGACAATAATTTGATCAAAACAATGCAAGTCCTGTTTCAGTTTCTTTTCTCATTTGTTCTTTTGTTCACTTCACTGTCTTTTCTTTCTTTTTCCTTTCTGTTTCCCGTCTGGGCAGAGCGACAGAAGGCAGAAAAGATGGAGGCACGAGCTCCTCGGTCATTTTATTTCTCCGACTTGATGCTTTTATTGACTCAGCATCAGCAGCATCCCTCCTCGCAGAGCAGCCACTAAATCATATACACTCCATGCTTCATCCTTGTCACACACACTGTGAAGTCTGCATCTGTGTGGCTGTGATTGATTTTTATTTTTTTATTTTTTTTGGTGCTGCGATGTGCAGTTTGCCATTAGACAAGGAGTCTGAAATGGACGGCTTCGTTTTAAAATGTGATGTATGACTTTTTGAAGGGAGATGAAATGTCTAACCGTCGCGGAGACACATTCAGCTGTGTAAACACAGAAAATCAACCCAACAGTATCATCACGCTGCTGCCCGCATTACTGAAATGATCCACACCGGATCATTACTGTATAACACTTTATGTAAGAAAGTAAGGATTAAACAGTTCATTGTTTTGTTACTATTTTAAAACAGTCAAATATGACTGATAACAAAATGTATATTTTTTTTTTTTTTTTTTTTTTTTTAGGATCTATTAACATGGTTGATCACTGATACAAATACAAGGAGACAACGTTGACCTTTAGTAGTCGTAGTTATGATGGGAGCAAAGGAGGAAATCAGTTGAAGTATAGAGAGCAACACAGTCCACCTAGTGAGGAAGTAGGAGTAAATTGAGAGTTCAAACAAACAGGACTTTCACCAAGGAGACCGCTGTTTGTGTCAACAAGCAGACTTTTTTTTAAGTTATGTACGTAACCACGTCACGTAGTATAGCACGTTTTTTCTATGGTTTACATTTTGTGTTATGTCATTTGCAAGTGCCTTCATCATTTCACGTGTTGATTGTGAAAAGAAATGTTAGTTTGCCACGTTGCCAACATAAATGTATGCTACTTATTTTATCCCAAACCACAATCTTCTACTAAATCTAACTTAAATGTTTTTGTTGCCTGAACTTAAGATGTTTGTATTCACCATGTTATGTTTCACTTTCACAACAGGGGGGTGGGGCTTTTTAGTCTGCCTGAAGTTGCGGTTGAGTTGAGTGGTAATTATACAGCACATTTCCCGCAATGCAATATTTAGAAGACCTACAGTTAAGTTACCCGCTCAATAAAACGTGGCATTGTTCTGCTATTCACGGCCCCTCCTCTGTAGGCTCCACAGTAGGCTCGACTGACCACATTGCATTGTAGCTTGCTGTCCATCTCCACATTATAGTGACAAACATAGAATATTACAAAGCGGACAAATATTGTAACAGATTTATAACAGTGGAAGACTTTCTTTCGCCAACTAACCATTACACCACCTCATTATCTAAATTTGGACCACAGCTCTTCATATGTGCCATGGCGTTTTTGCAGGCTTCTGTGAGAAGCAGCATGTTTAGTGAAAAGTGTGTTTGATTTGTGTGTCACTGTGTGCAGGTTTCCTGGACTGGGTCCCGAAGAAGATGCAGCGTGTGGGGTGCATGGAGCTGCTGAACACAGTCCAGAGGAGAATCAAGCCCAAGTTACATGTTTTCGGACATATTCATGAAGGTACTTGAACGAGTTTGTAAAATGCTCAACTCCCAACAACCTCCGCAAAGCAGGTAGACCAGCTTGTATGTTAAATCCAGGGGTTTAAAATAATTGAAGGGGACTTGGTTGAGCCATTTAAATGCCAAATTGTAAATGGACTGTACTTGTATAGCTCTTTTCCAGTCTTCCGACCACTCAAAAGCGCTTTAACACTACATGTCATTCACCCATTCACACCCATTCATTCACTGATGGGAGGGGCTACTATGCAAGGTGCCACCTGCTTATCAGAACTATCTAACATTCCTACAACATTCACACACTGTAGGCACATACAGGAGCAATTTAGGGTTAAGTGTCTTGCCCAAGGACACATCAACATGGAGTAGCGGAGCCGAGGATCAAACCCCCGATCCTCTGATTGAAGGACGAACCTGCTCTACCACTGAGCCACAGTCGCCCCATTTCAACATTTTAACCGTCTCAGATCTTCTCTGTGGATTTTGGCAGTTGGACAATAAGAAGACGCAGAGTCTTGGTGGTCCTTAAGTGAATGAATCAAACTGACACAGTGGAAACTAGAATAGTACCCTCAGATCTCCGGCAGGTGTGTCTGCAATGACCACTGCTGTATTATTTGATTGAATACAAACCTCAATCGCCCATCGTCTAATCTCGACAGCAAGCGTACCACTCCCACACCAGATTTGAATCTACTCAGCTGTCTGCACCGGCTCTGGGCAGCCACGCATCTCAGCTGCTACGTCCCAGGCGTAATCGCAACCTTTTAGCTTTCAACAAAACGTAGTTGATGGCTGGAGGTTGATGCCCAATAAAAAAAGGCTCTGAATGCATAAATGTATCTATATTTTACAACCTTGTCAGCGCAGTGTGCTGCTCTATGGTTCCGTCCAGAGACCAGTTTATAATTCCACACACTCTCCCTTTACTTTTGCGTGTGTTTTTTTTTTTTTTTTTTTTTTGCACTGTTTATTCATGTGCAAACTGTAACCAACACTGTACATTTACTGCCACTATACAACTTCACTGCTGACGTTGTTTGCGGCTTACCTAGGCGTGCAAATCTGGACAGAAACTGAAGCGGTTGTTGATCACTTGCGGCCCAGACCGGCTGGTTAAGAGGCAAGAGGAGTCGGCAATCAACCACAGAATAAAACAGTCAATGACATAGGTTTTCAATAACTGTTAATCACCGCAACACTGAGAGCATACAGTTATTAATGAGCACAGAAAATATTATGCTGATGATTCCAGCAGTATGCGAGATTAGCCGTGGACAGACACACGTGATACACGCATGCATACGACTGAACACATAATCTCCCCTCAGGTTTACACGAAGGGGAGATTATGCCATTGGCTAATGTATATGAATTCAATTATATCCCCACATACATACAAAACATGTTTGCACTGTGATGGTTTTTATTCAGGGATGTATACCAACTATGAACTAACCCCTTTTATTTACCGAATACAGTCTACATATCTTAAGGCTCACATAAATCCTTATGACCTGAATTCATAGAATGCAATATCATATTTTGCATCAAAATGAATAAGAGGGACCTCTACTTTATCACAATCTGAAGGCGGCAGTTACTTTGCATACATTTTTATACCCGTCGCTACATCACTGTCTGAATCATTCTCACATGTCCCACCTAAACATTAAGCTTATTATTTAAATTAACCAATCACATGTAGCAAAAAGCCATGTATTTATCATGGTATTGTTTTTTCCTTAAATTAAATATTTTTAAGTTAATTAAACTGGCTAAGACAATTGAATTCTAGCCATGTAAACTTAGATAATATGGAGATAATGTTCAATAATTTTCTTGAAGAAAATGCTTAAAGTGTATATGTGAAAGAATAGCTAAGCAGCCACATCCCTCTGAGCATTACATCCAGGCCAGCGAGGGCAGAGAGGCCGTCTCCCTGGGCTGAAGGATTGCTTTTTTGGGGTCATCAGGTCAGCGCTGAGCCCATGCAGCGGTCCCCCACCACAGAGAACCAGATTAGAAACTAGATCACACTTTATATTAGGAGAAAGAGGCTGAAAGCAGCTCTCTTCATTAATGCGAGGACTCCGAGGGGGAACTCAGAAAGACAGCCATTATCCTCAGCGTGTTTTGTATTCATGTATTCCAAATCTGAAAGCACCAACTTGGACATCTGCTCGGTTCCAAGAGATGGTGAACGTGACACCTACACTTAAAAGAAAATCACTGGTAGTGCAAAGTTAAATTGTACTGTGGTTCTTTCTGAGAGATGGGTGTTAACTTTATGCTCAACAAAATGTTAACACTTTTACATCTGCCATTTGGAAGTGTTAGATCCGGGGGTTTTCACTGGCCCGATACGGGGCTACCTACTGACTCAGCTCTCTATTAAAAGATTGTCGAGCGGGTGTTCTGTCGAGAAAACTCGCCTGGCTCTGCTAACTACCGTTACTCCTGACGTCTACCCTGCTTCCTCTGGTAACGTGCACACGGCCGAGGGGCCACCCTGGCCGGGCGCTTCTACCAGTCGCGTCAGTTATGGCAGCTTTCCTCTTCTGGATCTGGGCTCTTGGTAAATTGCCAGGTTTTAACGGCTAGGATTACAACTAAAAACCGTAAGGGACTGTTAAGTGGACTGGTCACTAGGATAACCATTCAGAACTCTTGTTGTTAAACATACAATAGATTTAACTTTTTACTGCCACGAGGAACTTTCACTACTTAGGCAAATGAATTCTCTGGAGAAATTTACTTTAAATGCAGATTAGATATTTATTGCAGGATATATTAGCAGGGGCACAGCAACAGCTCACATAAAATAATACTATACTTGATTCGATCAGGTTACAATTTCTTCTTAGGTTATACTCATTAATTGTCGATGCCGAGGCGGCTCGGTGGAGCTGGATTCACGATGTAATAAAAAGTCCTTTTGGGGTTTTTAGGAGCGAAGGTCCGGCCGAACCTTCGGCTCCTCCTGCGCGGCCAACGAAGTCCGTTCAGCGATCCCTCAGGCTCAGTACAAAGTCTTTAGGGCAGCTGCGTCCATCTGTTGTCCGGTTGTTAAAGTCAAACGGGGGAGAGGAAAATCTCCGTCTTTCAATCTTTGTCCACGAACGGCTGTCTTCTTTCCGTGAACAGAGACGAAGTCCTCCGATGCTGCTGTCGAACGAGGTACAGTGTTTCTCCATGGAGCACTTGGTCGGCGTCCCGCAATGAATCCCGTCTTGCTATTTGCAAGTCTCTTATAACACTTTGAGCTCTCTCTCCCCCCTCCTCCCCAACACTCCCTCACTCGGCATATGATTATCATGACATCATTGATTATGTGTATGTGCTGCGAACAACACCCATCTTTCTGTGTGTGTGTTCTGGAAACTACCTAACTTCCCTGTGTGGGTGCTCTCACTTCCTCAATGCTCTGAGCGTGTGTCAGGTTACACCCGTGTATGTGCTCGGCCAACACTCAACATCTCAGCCTTTAAGGCCCCCACCCAGCTTACATCAGCTCTTTCCACACACACAGACTTCACTTTACTCAGATACACATACATTATTATTATTATCAGTTTTACATTTGTTAAATCACTTCATAATTCTACGTACTACACACTTGCATTAATATGATTATTGGATTTCATCCTTTAACTATAAGTATACGCTTTATGTCCCCTTAGCCTGATTCACATACCGAACATGTATTCCTTCATTTAAGGCAGCTCTCCTGGGATCTCAACTCTCTTTTTTTGACAGAAGCAACGTCGATCCAAAGTGCCTTTGGAGCAGAGATTATTTAACTGTAGTGGTGTTAGTGTCACACTCATGCATATACTGTATTTGCTCAAACTGGATTCTCGCCATTTTGGAAATGATAAAGATGCGCTGCTATGCATAGCGCCAATAACTGGTGTTTGTCGTTTGGTCGTCCAAGAGATTAACTCCATGTATTTATTACGATCGCCATCGGATGCATCACAGTTGCTTTTTGTCCCGGGGTCCACTGGGATTGCCAGTTCTTCCCCTGATTATTTAATCATATATTGGTGGATATTTACCGAAGATTTGCGTTTGGGAGGCAAGGTTTTTGTGGTAAGCAGTAAAATAATGTAAACAATTCCATAATGGGTCACATTGAAATTTGCACTGTAATAAAAGAAACTGCTTTGAGCTCTTTTAATTTAGAGGCATACCATAAAGGAGGAGAGAATATAGTGTATACAAATAGCTGCTTTATGACTGACTACAGCAGCTCAGGAAATTCTGCCTGCAATGTAACATCTGGGAAAGATGGGTGTCAAATCTACAGAAGAGTTTTATGGTCAGGCATTAGGGGAAAACATGAGAAGGAAGATTTCTATTTAGCATTTCTAGAATAATGTCAAGGATTATTGAGAATAAGGTTGAACTTTCATCATAAGTGCCAGGCATATGATTTTTTTGTTTCTTTAATCTTGAGAATAAAGTCAAAATTATGAGAATAAAGTCAAAATGTTGAGGATATAGTCAAAATACCATTTTGAGAATAAAGTTGACATACAATTCTAGAATAAAGACTAAATGTCAAGAACACACGTTGAACTTTCAGTATTGGTGCCAGGCATAAGATTTTTTTTTTTTTTTTTTTTTTTTGCATCTTTACAATAAAAATAAAATGGTGACAGTAAATTTGAAATACCATTTCAAGAATGAAGTCTAATTGTGGAGAATAAAGTGAAAATTGAGAATAAACACGAAATGTCATACGTCGTACTTTTAAGAATAAATCAAGTTGCTACCCTTACCACATATGCTGAAATTCCAGCTTAATCTCAAAATGCTGTAAGATTTTAAAGAAATCTTCCTTCTCTTATTCTCTCTCTCTCTCTTTTTTTCCCTAATGCCCAGGTTACGGCATGATGACCGACGGCACCACAACGTTCGTCAACGCCTCCGCCTGCACCGTCAATTTCCTTCCCATGAACGCGCCCATCGTCTTTGACCTCCCGAACCCCGGGAGGACCACATGACTAGAGGAGGATCGCCCCAAAACGCCTGCCGTCGATCAAGAGAAAAGAGCTAAGAGAGGCAGGTGAGGGTCGGCGAAGCAGATTCTGTAAATACAAGGCAGGTGTGTGTACATGCCTGGAGACGGAGCGGACTAAAGGGAGGGGACGCTTCCTTTTTGCTGTTATTTTATGTGCCATCATTTCTTCATCCGAGTCTAAAAGCAGACAAATGGACGAGTGGAGAGATGCTTTTCAATGTGGACAAATCTCTGTCCTCTTTTACTGCACTGACAATCTGATGTGGTCTCAGAGAGACGAGAGAGACACTGCACCTACATCGAGCCATGTGACACGTTGTACGTTGTTGTTCACTCACATTTTAAATGAGCTGAAACCGTTAGGACTTAAAGTGAAACAACCCAGCGCCTCGTCTACGTGAGTTTTTGGCTGAGCCACGACTCAACAGCAGCGACGTTACATTGGGCCCCCCAGAGGGATTTTAACAGAACTTTTCAACCCCCCTCATCTTCCTTCTGTTTCTCTCCCTTCCTCGGGCCCAGAGAATGATTTTTTTTTTTTTTTTTTTTTTTTTTTGCCAGCGTGTGCGATCAAAGCGAGTGTGTGAGGGCAGCAAGAGGTCTCAGCCAGGGGCTGTGTGAGAGTCGGGGTGTCAGCCGTGTTGACACCGCTCCCCCTGGGCCTCATTAAAGCCCTCATAAGCGTGCCTAGAGGAGGACGCGGAGGAAACCACATGCGACACTTCCCCTTTGTTTAGTTTTTTTCCTCCCCTTTCCACTCTTTCCATGTACCTCCCCTTTCACCTTTTTCTCCTCTTATATTTTTTCCTTTTCTCTCTACTAGTCACGCTGTGAAGGACTAGCATGGCTTGTTAGCTGCGACTGAGAGGGCTGGCTTTTTGGACAGGTGCTACATGCTAACGCTACTCCTGGACAGTCAAACTGGTGGTTTACTAGGACCGTACCTCGTGTCGGGAAAGACGGAGACTTCTCACCCTTTTTAAGAATAAAGCTGTAACTACATGTACTGTAACTGGTTTAATGTAAATGTTCTCTGTCAATGTAAAGAAAAAAAAAAAGGTTTTCTCAAAGATTTCCAAGCTGTTGCAAGCTTTTCAAAAAGACTTCATATTTGTGGTTGTTACATTTCCTTCGGTCTATTTCCTAGTAATGTAAATGCTTATGATGGTATTTTCTTCTCTGTGAAGCTACTCTGCCCCATTTTGGTGATTAACTCTTTCATGTCTCTTTTGCAGTTTGTCTGTGTTTTAAAGAAAAAAAACTTTTTTTTTTTTTTTTTCTGCTTTGCTCTATTTTCTGAATAAGGATGTTCTCAGTAAGAGTCTGAATGTGCTTAGCATAACAAGACCACGTCACACTTTGATCTCGCTGCTCTCCGACATTATGTATGAAACGTTCCCCGGGGCTGCAGCTTACACTCGCTTCCTCAGCACATCAGCATTCATTGTGCCAGCTGATGTCTTAATGTTTCCAAATAGGCAAAAAGAAGGAAAGACGCAGCAGAATAACTTACCAAGAAAGTCTGTGTGTGTGTCCGTGCGTGCCTGTGCGTGTGTGCGGTTACGTGGGGCAGGTTGAGTTCTAGGCAGATCCTCACTTCTTCAAGGGGCAGGTTTAGTATGAAGATTAGGTTTAAATTATGGTGCGCAGAGAGTAGGGGCACTGCAGCTTAATAAAACACAGGCAAATATAGAAATCATAATTGCCAATTTGACAACACATGCATCTTAATGTAGGAAGTCCTAGTATACAGATGCTAATCTAGATATTGTACCACCTGCAGATGATTGTGATAAACCTACACAGACACTCTGTATGTCCAATAATACCGGGCCCACACAGTCGGAGTGATAGCAGTGAAATACATTCATTTGTTAGCTAACTTTTCAACACCACTGGTAGATCAACATCAAAAATGTAATTTGTTATATCGACCAAGGAGTTCATGATATCAGTTTGGCTTGTCTGTCAATAGGATGACAGAAAAACTACTCACCTGATTTTCATGAAACTTGGTGGAAGGGTGTACCATAAAAATGTTGGAGCTGCTCAGATTCATGGAGCTATTTTTAACTTTTAACATTGCGCGGGCATTTGGCCTTGGCGGAGCTCTGCAGTCTCAAAGTGCACCTCTAGTTTATAATATGTATTTGCAGCCCTTTTTTAAAATGTGGCATTTGTCAATTTAGTGAATATGAATATACTGGCAATATTTTCATTGCAGGTTTTACTAGTAATTAAAACTGTAGAAGCAGGCGGAAGCCTCATTGAAGTCCAAAGACAATGGTAGGTTTATTGACCGCAAATGTTGTAGCCTGTGCAGAGTAGGTAAAAGGGTTTTAGATTTCTAATTATGAACATAATGAAGTAAAAAATAGTCCACAAAGAGGTTGCATGGCAGACAAAGGCTGTTTGCTAATTAACAGCTAAGAAAGGTAAAAATGTATGTCATGTCATTCTCGGCTTTGCTGCTTTGATCTATAAGAGCAACAGGATTTAATTATTTGATCCCCATTCAAGATAGCACAGGGCTAACCACAAGCCCTGTGCTAACTTGAATACAGCTGTGGACTTGTATTGGTTGCGTGCTCCATTCATACAATTGTGGGTCAGTGTCGGCCTGGTGTTCAAGGTATGCACATTTCCTGATGCACACTCCATTCCAATTGGTAGCGGTAACACACTATGACGTTGTTTGCCAGGAGTTTAACGCCATTTGGCTGTCTTTATGTTACTGTAAAGGCAAATTATTCAAATGTGGGTAACAGCGGATCTCCTCGCACAACTTCTCTTCAAAACATCTTTTTCTCCGACTTTGCAAACTAGAGGCGCATACACCACCAAATGGATGAGAGTGTGGAACGATACTAGAGCATGCGCAGTCGGTCACAAATTTTAAGCTGCACACAGACATCCACATGGCGTCCGAGCGGACATGGACAGATGACATTTACAGCACGCAGACAAAAGTGGATCCTCGTGGTCACGGAAAGTATGGATTGGTTTTAAACCGGCTCAATGCGCATGCTCAAAGTCAGCAACCAGCAGTGAAATGACAACAGGAGGTGTCATATATACTGTACATATGTAGGGAACCCCAAACGACCCGTTCTGATGATAAATAATTGCAAATTGTAAACTATAATTCATTTAGGGTTCTCTCCTGATGAGAATACTCTTAAAACTGTAAGTTGAGCATCATTATTAAATATATATCGTGATAATTATCGCTATCGATCAAATCGATTGTGAAAATATCTTTGGCCATATTGTCCAGCCCTAATTCTTTGCCATTTTTTTCTATCACTGCTTAGGTTCTTCATGCAGAACTTTAACATTAAAAGCCTACTAGGAAAGGAAGAGGGTGTTTAATGGTATGTAATATTGTCACGCAGGTAAGAACTATCTCTGCTCAACACCTTAAGTATTTATGAGAAACAAACAGTTGCACCATGTTCACTTCACGAACTGGTTGTGTTGGATCAGAAGAATGAATCCTGGCACAATCTATCATTACGATCCAGAGTTTTGGGCATGGATTGGGGAGACTTAAGATGGGGTTAGCAGTAATAGTCTGAATGTAGGCAGGAGATGGTGTTGCACAACGTAGGGTGTGGATGTGCGTCTGTGCGAGTGTATTCAATACAAATAATAAGAGAGAGTAAAAGGAGTGTTCAGCTTCATCGTTTAAAACACAAACTTAATTATCATCTACGGCGTTCCAAGAAAGGAATAAAAGGGAACTATTAAAAACCAAAATATGGGAGGAACTTTCATCTCTGTTTCATGAAGAGCCGTCTGTTTCGTCCGACTCTCCACTTCCAGTCCTCATTTAGATGTCTCTTTGATGCTCCTCTGCTTCAGTAGCCGTGTTATGTGTGTTTCCTGTTTGTTTTTTTTCCGAGAGGGAAAAAAAAGAAAAAAAAAGTGCTGTACTATTTCTTGATTTCTTTCTTGGGGCATGCTTAAAGGAGTTAATGACTTCTGCTACTCAGACAATCTGCATATGAAGAGTTTTGTTCCAAAATGAGATATGTACTGTTTAAAAAAAAAAGGGGGGGTGCCACCCACACATGCCGAATGATTGACAGCTTAAACTTGAAAGCAGAATGTGGTAGTACTTTATGTGGTACTCAATAAAGCATTGTTTGTGTCCTTAGTAACATGTCTATTGGCTGGATACTTCAACGTTACTGGATGGTTATGAACTTCAGCTCTTTTTTTTTTTTTTAATGGACATATAACATTTTGGAATGAAAGTGTTCATATGGTATTGTATTTTGCCATCGTTGTTCGGGACATTTTTTGGGACAGGAAAATGAAAACCCAACAACTGCAAAAATGTAACTGTGTTGCTCCTGGAGACAACTCTAAAATGTAAATTACCTCTCTTTCTTAAAAACCACATGGATTCTGCTGGTTCTGAGAGATTGTTCACCGATTGAATAAAACCTTATCTGTGACTGCTGGATCATGCTTCCCTTACTTCCATCCTCGCTCTTCCTCTTTTGTCTCTCTCCCATCCTTTATTAGAGGTGGCGAGGAAACTTTTCCCGTCCTGTTTTTTTTCCCCCTTTTGTTCCAAATCAAAGGTATCTATGTCTCGTATCAATTATAGAGCCCAGAGCAGCGAGTTAATTTCCAGTATAAACCCTCGCTGCTCCGTCTCTGTCTCCCATTTTGCTCCGCAGGTCTTCCACACCTCTGCACATTCTAATGAGAACCCTCGTTCAAATAATTATATTAGTAATCCCAGGGGGAGACCGGGTAATTTATTCACGGATGGCTTTTTTACTTTGCCATTAATACAACTAGCTTTTATATATTCTTTTCTTCCTCCAGGTCCCTCCCTCCCTCGTTTATTTTCTCACTCTGCCTCTCCAACCACGATGCTGAGCTTTTTTTCTTAGTTCTGATTGTCCCTTTTTCTGTTTCCATCTGCTCGTCCCTCTCCCAGCTCCCCTCAGATAATGACTCCCAGCTCCCCTCAGATAATGACTCCCAGTAAATTTTTCCTCTCCTTCTCTGAGAGCTTCTGTACCACCTTGCTGCGGCGGCAGTGCTTTCCTTTGAATGAATGACAGACGTCCCCTCCGTCTCCTTGTCATCCATCTCACTTTTCACTTCCCGTGCGAACAAAAGATGCGCCTGGTCCTTCCCGCCGTCTGCATCATAAAAAAAGGCACTTTATTTGATTGGCTTTGGAACACAAATCAGTGTCAAATAGTCAGGCAGGAGAACAAGTCTCTCCTTTATTTTTTTCCCCCATATTTTTTCAGTCGTCAAATCCCTTGATGGATCCATTTGTCGAATCAGTGAAAGATCAAATTTGAAATTCTAAAGTCTTGCTGTGAGGGCCAGAAAAAAAACACCAAGAGGCCCTCAACCCTTCCCATATCATTTTGAGAATTTGTGATCATTTTGCCCACAAATGTATTATTGAAGAATATGCACCATGTAAACATAATATTAACCAAAGTATTAAAAGTAGTCTGACACAGGGCCTCTCTAAAGGGCCATCTTAAAGCTGCAGTTGGTAACTTTAATAAAAAATATAAATATCATATTTGCTCAAACTGTCAATATATCCTGCATGAGACAGATAATCTGTAAAAAAAAAAAGGAGCTCCTCTAAGAGCTCCTAATGGCATTTAGAAGATTCCACCGTGCCCGAAGAAGCCGAGGAGTCTCTAACGCAGCTGTCAATCACTGCTGGTGAATTTCAACTGCCAAACTAGGCAGCGCTGATCAAATATGAATTAAGATTCTGTTACTTCGTCGCCTATTTCTCACAGTACACGAAAATATGTTCTCAGAAACATATTTTCGTGTACTGTTCAGCTGTCAAATGAGAAAGTTCCCTCCGGACGGTGGGATTTTATAAATCTCAATGGAATCAATCAATTTAAGATCAAATTAAATCAGAATTATTTTTTTTTCTCATTTATTTGTATATTCTGTGTATGTACGTTGAGAGCAACGTAAAAACAAAAGAGTCAAATTCCTTGTATGCGTACGCATTCATGGCCAATAAAGCTAATTCTGATTCTGTAATGTTATAGAGAAGTTTTCAGAGGAAGCTAATTTGAGATGCTCACCATTTCAGCTTATATTTTGCTTTTTATAGCACATATTACCATATAACTAATTTACAATTAAATTAAATAACCACAAATTATAACTACACACTAAAACTACGGCCCCCGAGAGTCGGGGCCCTCGGTGCAGCTGGTAACCCGGCCACCCTTGTTGAAGCAGCTGTACGCAGCTGGGTGTGTGTGTGTCCTGGTGTGTTAGGTTGAGGGGTTTAGGAGATGTCATCGCTAACCAGCTTGCTAATTGTTTCTATCGATCTGTCGTCAGTGGATTGTATGGCAGGTAAATGGCAGGGACAATAAAACAGGAGCGTTAGCTGCTGTTCTCCTGGGCCAAAACGTCAGCGTGGTCTTGTTGCAACCTTCAGCTTTATTGAACAATTAAAATTACTGATTGGCTGTCAAGTGAACAGGTGTGTGTGTGTGTGTGTGTGCATGCGTGCATGTGTGTGTGTCTGTCTGTAGGTGTCTGTGTGCGTGTATGTGTGTCTTTGCAAGTTTGAGCTCCATGGATTTTCAGTCACTCTCCTTCAGACATTTTGATAGAAGGGACACAAGCGGAGCTGCATCAATAATTCATAAAGAACCAGTTTATCAGAGCAGGACCCCTACCTTCCTGAAGTTCTGCTTGGGGACACTTCCTGTGCGGGCGGGGTCACACGTCAGAAAGCGGCGTCGGACGGAGGTCCAGGAGGAGTGGACTGTGTTGCTCAGAACCCCCGGGCCCGTCTGAAACCATGCGGGATCGCCCTCAGACCCCCGGACAGAAGGAAAGGAACAAAGGAGAAAGAAAACAACACATAAAGGTGAGAGCACCCACATGATCGGTACCATTTTGCTTCTTCACAAGCTGAGAACAAAGTGTTTTTTGTGTCTGTAAACTTGCGCACAGACACACCATCGAATCAAATAAGATGCAGGGGGTCTCTGCAATTCTACACAGATGGTCGGTTTCTGGTCGAGACAATGCAGATCTGTGATTCCAAAGTTGGTTTGGAAAGGTTGCAGCTCATGGGTTGCCAGATAAGGCCCTCACCCACGCGCTCAACTGAAGCTCGGGGGCTCGGCTTAGTCGCTCAGCAGGAGTCCTTTTAGATCGTGCCCACCCGTGTGTCATTGTTCAAAGCTTCATATACACCTCCCCATGCCAGAAAAAGAGGCACCGCGACTTACCACAACTTGCCCAGTTTGCTTGTCATGGGAAGCGATAGTCGAGAGCCTGGGGGTGGGAGGTCCCCGCTGAGTTTACACAATCTGGCAACCCCGCCGTCGTCCACCATCGCCACCCCCTCGCATTCCATAGCCACCCACCCACTTCACTGTAACCCAGCGTAGACTTGCAGCCAATAAAACTACAATAGATCAGATGCTAAAGACAGGAAAGGAGAGGGACTACAGATTTCATTTGAAATGTGCCAATGTTCTGCTCAGCGTGGATAGAAGGCAAAGAATCTCTGTCTGTGTGTCCTTTGAATATCTCATGAACCGTTCAGCTGTTCTACTTAACACTTGGCAGGTGTATTGATGGGAACACAAGGATGTGCAGTGTCGAAGTTGGTGCAATTTGGACATGCGACACAGTCAATATTAATAAACTTTGAATAAACAAGCGATTGCGGCTGCCGGGGGCAGGGCTTCAGGGCTCTGTGGACTGATTCAAGTATGTCCTCATTGACTGCAGTTCACTTTTGCTGCCGGATGCTTGATGTTCTAATGTTACAACCAAACTCTTCTTCACTTTCCTGGAGTCAACGAGAGATGAGCGCTTCTCGACCACGCTGCAAGCAGCACTTCCTGCTCCTAACGGGCACCACACTGGTACTCATGAGCCATATGACATTATTTGTCTCACTACAGATATGTGCAGCGTACTATAACAAATGTTTTTTACCGCCGCAAAGGGAGTTTATGTCGCTCATGCAACGTCTTGGTCTCTGCTGGTTTTAGATTCAGCAGGAAGTGAAGAAGGAAGTTGTGATATGACACACGGCCATTATTGATGATGTCAAACTTCACAGCAAGATGCTCAAACTGCTCCCGAGTCATTCTGACGTTGAGAGAGTGGAGGATCTCTGCAAGGCACGGTCAGTCGTTAGCATGGAACAGGTAGAAGGGGTAGCTAAGTGTCGTATATGAGTGTCTGTGGTTTGCTGCTCACCCAGGAAGGAGGTGGGGCTGATGTGTCCCTCTTCCTCGGCGCAGTTCCTCTGGATCTCCTTCCAGCAGTGCTGCACAGCCGCACGTGGCCTTCTCTCCGTGCTTACCTGCTGGCTCCCCACTGAGGCAGCACGCCTGGAGGTGCACTGGGGGACAGACTGGGAGAAAAATTAGGGGGGGGGGGGGATTTGATGTTCAGAAGAAAGGCTGCACAACTACACTGAAAAATCATCTTCAGTTTTGCACCAAGCAGCTGATTCTAACGGCATGTCTGCACAGGAGGTGTTCATGCGATTCATGAAATAATTCCACTTGCAATATGTTTGAAAAAAAGCTGTTATCATTCGGAAATAAGTCTTAGTAAGTTAGATCATTTCACTTTATAGTAATTCAAGACACAAGATAAGTTTTGGAATCACCTACAAAGATGAAAACTCTGGTTTGAAATCAAGATGGTACATCATTTACATACGTAACGTAATGCTGTGTCTCCAGAATTAAATAGCAGCTTGATGTCTGGTCTGAGTGAACAGGCATCTGCACGTACAGTAGCGCCTAGCTCAACTGTAACTGGTCCTTTCTTTATATTTTTAAAAACTATTAACACACTGTTATTTAAGGCTACAAAAAGAAAACAGTGAACATTTCAAATCGCTTTTTAATTTCAGAAGGTTAAGAACAGAATTACATTTTTAAACGTGGTTCGGAGTCGTGGTTCTAGTATGTAATTGCAAATAACATTGGAAGTCGACAAAGTTCAATTAATGTTGGGGTTTAAACGGGTTGTTTCTTGTTTCTATGACCAAACAAATACTTGTGCATGGGAGTGTATGTATATAGATATGTATGTATGTGCATGTGTATGTTCTATGTATATATGTTATTATTGTTTTGATATATCTCTATATATGTCTCTCTCTATATATGTATATTTTTATCAAGCGGTGTTATGTTCCTTTAGTTATCCTTTTACCCTGTGTAATAGATAAATAAAATAAAATGTAAATTACTATGATTAATGTTATTATTAGTAATATTATTAATAATAATATCCATAATAATAGTTATTAATGCAATTACAAAATGACTACTAGTATTACTATCTCCAAAATGAAAACTCTTCTCCAAACAAAGTTTCTGAAGAAATATGATGGTGACTGTAAACAGATCTCGACTCCCTTTGTATATACAAAGACAATTTCCACCTCATG